CTAACCATAAGAAGTGGTCGTCTTCCCCATCGATCCACGAGAATTAAGCCCATAAAAGATTTTGGTACCTATACCATTGATCAGATATTAGGGTTACCATGTGGCAAAAAATTAATGACGCAATCATTGCAAATGATGAGTATATTAATTGGTCAAACTGCAATTTAAAGGAAAAAAAATCCGATTTAATAAATTATACGTACGACGATAAGAGACAACACCGTCATCCCAATCCGAGCAGGAAATCCTACAAAAGAAAAAGTGTTAATTTAATTATCGTCTAACTAACTTTTACGAAATTTAATTATATAATAATGAAAATAGGAATTAATATATTTGAGAACATAATAAATAATATTTTTACCGCCAAGTTTAAATAGAGAGCTTCCGTAAGCGCCTATTCCCGCAGTTCCACTTAATTGTTGTAGAAGCATCAAACCTATGCCGATCTAAACATAATTTACCAAATCCAAAAATTTAATCATCACTTGTTATTGATTTTTGTTTTTCGGATCCAAATCATATTCAAATATATTTTTGAATGAACAGAAACAATTTAATCTTACAGTAAGTTGATGAGCATATCTCTTTCTGAAAAGACTACCAATGCCGATATTCGAATTTTGCTTGGAAACTTCAACAGAAATCTACAAAAAAAAAGACATTTAAAAATGATCTATAAGTGTTTCTAAAAGTCTGTCAAACATCTAATTTTTGGAATGATTTATATATGTATGGGTACCTTGATCTCGCGGGATTCACGCGCAATATCATATCCTTTTCCTCTTAACTTATGAAGAGAATCTTCAAATTCTTTATCACGACCCTTTTTTGCCTATATTATTCAGTTTCAAATTAATATTTAGTTATTAACTATAAAAATCATGTTCAAACTACTATGTATTCATTAAGTACCATAAGTTTAATTTATGTGACTAACCAGCCATCTCGGAGACTCAGGTACGAAGAACAAACCAATAACTTGTATCCCACATGGAATAATACCTGGTTGGAAATGAATTTTAGTTAAATAAATTTATTGTGATAAAGTAATTAATTTGGAGAAATGAAACTCGAAGAAGATTGAATAGTAGATGGGAATAAATCACCGATTAAGGCTAGAGTTCTCCATGAAATGAAATTTCCAAAGTAATATGCGATTGCAACTCCACAGTTTTGCAACAACTGAAAAGTATTGATTATGA